GGCTGGGGGCGGTGGGCTGAGGGGGCCCTGGCTCACTGATTACCTCATTACCTCGCTAATGATCTCCTTACCTCAGTAAGCATCTCCTTTACATCACTCCTTACTAGTTACCTCCTTAGCTCGCTCCTCACTCCCTGGTTACTTCCTTACCTCACTGATTACCTCATTACCTCACTCCTTACCTCACTAATTTACCTCATGATGTCATTAATTACCTCCTTACCTCACTACCGCATTCCTTACTAATTACCTCCTTTCCTCACTCACTCATTACCTCCTTACCTCTCTCCTTACCTCACTAATTACCTCATTCATTACCTCATTCATTACCTCACTAATTACCCCCTGACCTCCCTCCCCAGTCACCTCACCCCCTCCAGTTCCTGCCTTCCCCAGGGGCAGGGATGACTGCAGACCCCTATGTGCATGTAGGGGGAGAGATTTCTCCTCACAAGTCATTATTTTTCAGTTTTTTTAACGAGTTTTCCTGTTTATTTTTTCCCCAGTGGACTCAGCGGAAGCCTCGCTGCTGAACAAGCTGATCCGCACGTCGCTGGTGGAGTCCAGCCACCATGTGGAGATCCTGCAGCGGGACCCCAGCTCCCCGCTTTTCTCCGTCAAAACCTTCGAAGAGCTGCCCCTGTGAGTCCCCAGTCCAGAGAAACCCAAAAGCCACCCTCGTTCCTCCAATTTCCCCTTTTTCATGGTGGTTTGTTTTTCCCCCCCCCCCAGGAAAAAGGAGCTCCTGAAGGGGGTTTACATGATGGGCTTCAACAGACCATCCAAAATCCAGGAGACGGCTCTTCCCCTCATGCTGGCGTACCCGTGAGTGTTACCCGCCACCGATCCCGCTTCCCTCGAGGCATTCCCGACGCCGGGAACGCCGGTCCGGGGACATCCAGCCCTTCCGCTGCCCCTTTGCCTTCGCAGGCCCCAAAATCTGATTGCCCAGAGCCAGTCAGGGACAGGGAAAACGGCAGCTTTTGCCTTGGCCATGCTGAGCAGAGTCAACGCCGCCGAGAAACACCCGCAGGTAACGGGAGGAGAGGGACAGCTGACGCAGGAGGGGGTTTGCCCAAGCCCTCCAGGCACAAAATTTTTCTCCCCATCTTGATTTTATCCGCTGGAGAGGGGACAATGAACCCCCAGCAGCAGGAGGCAGGACGGAAAGCGGTGTGCCCGCTACAGGGAGGAACTTTTCTGAAGCCAGGCTGTAGATATTCAGCAGTTTTAATTTTAAAAAGTGACCGCAGAGAGCGTCTGGTTTTTTGGTGGCTCCAGTGAGCCCCGGTCACCTCTCGGTGCGCAGAACCACGTTCACTGCGATTTAAAGTCTCTCGTCTTGAGCATACGGAAGGATTTAAAGTGTTGCTTTAGAGCTGGGCGCAGAAATTACACTTCGGGAAGACAAATTTCCTCCTCAAAAATAACCACAGCGACTTCTTCCCTCTGCGTTTCCAGCTCCTCGACCTTTTGAGGAAACTTGTGTTGGATTTTCCTGCGCTTTTTTTTTTCATTCCCTTCAAAATATGCTGCGGGCTGGCTGGAATATCCCATCCTGGGAGCGGTTTTGGTTTTAATTGAGGTTTTTTCATGCCCTTGGCTTCTAAACGCAGCGTTTTGGCGTCTGAAAACTCTTTTTATTTCCCTCCAAGTGCCTCTGCTTGGCTCCCACCTACGAGCTGGCCCTGCAGATCGGGCACGTGATTGAGACCATCGGGGAGTTTTGCGCCGACATCAAGGTGACGTACGCTGTCCGGGGAAACCAAGGTGAGTCTGGTCGTGCCGAGCGGAGCTGCCGGCGCCATATCGGGAGTTCAGTGAGTCCAGGGATCCTCTCTTCCAGCCTCCGTG